CAGGTGGTTTACACCTCAGTGGCCACACACCATGTGTTAGGGAGCAGGGTGTGGTGGGAAAGAAGGTGGACTTGCACCTGCAGCTGAAAGCCCTGCCTGCTTGGGTGGCAAAGGCCAAGGCAGGGCTCATAATGCTGAACTGGCAGACCAATCCCACGCGTGCACCCACTGCTATTCCTCACACTGAACAGCCCCTCCTCACCCTGTGTTCACTGATTACCTTGTTCCCAGCTTCACAATGAAGCATTCCAATTATGTAGAACTCAAGGTTCTTGGTGGTACTGCCCCAGTGGTGTGCTTTTCACATGGGACTCAGAGGTGCGTTCCTCCCCACTAAAGTTCTCTGGAAATGGAGCAATGCTTCTGGTGCCCTGCCCAGATGCCTTTGGATTGACACCACCAACCTCTGCCTCATGTTACAGCTGTATGCTTCTTTCCTACAGGCCTGGGCCTGCTTCCTTCAGAGAAGGAAGTCTGCCCTTGGGCACTGGGGTGGCTTTGCCCAAAAGCTCTGAGAGCATAGGAGTCTGGGAGCTGACATATCCCAGGGCAGCCAAAGGGAGGCATGAGGGCAGGAGAGGAAAGCCCAGCTCCCTGCCCTGCCTCTAGGAGGGACTCTCCCAGGAGCCCCCTGAGAATGAGGCTGAGTCTGGGACTGTGCAGAATCCCTCCCCATCTTCCTTCCTCGCTCTCTGATGATTCTCTCCTGGAAACACTTTTGAAATGTTACTTGCACAGGAATCCTCATCCAGAGTCTGCTTCTGGAAACCAACCATAAACACGGGATGCCACAGGCTTCTGGAGAGCCCTGAGAATGTTCTGCCTTGCAAGGCAGCCTGTGGTCAATTGCAGTAGGAAATTGCAGCTTCCTGCTGCTTCTCTAAGCAGGGTGGTGACCTGACATTCCATCAAATCCCATCTCCCTGGGACCTGAGGGGGGCAGTGCTGGGACATGTTTTGTGCTATTGTCCTGGGCTCAGAGCACAGGGTGCTGGGAAGGACACTTAAGCTTACATTTGGGTGTCACAGCCAACCCTGTGCACAGAGCCTCATGTGGGAAGGTTACCTGGCCCACCTTTCTGCACATCCCCTCTCTTCCCTGCTCTGCATTGCTGATCCTGGTGGTGGTCAGGGATGTTCTCCACCTTCCTGAAGCTCAGGGAGGAGCCAGTGGGCTCCTGGTTAAGGCCATGATGGATTGTGAAGTTTTAAGCACAGTGTGAACCAAGCCCTAGCCAGTCCAGCTTTTCCTGCCAAACTTTGGCCCTGAGCCTAACCCCACCAATTACAGCTCCTGGGGGACTGGTTACCCATAAGACCCTGGCAATGCAGGGGTTCACTGGGGTGACCTAATACATGGAGAGCTATCCATTAGCCACTTGCAGCCCTTCCTGGTCCTTGTCTTCTTCTGGCTGGGACCCTGTTCCTGCTACTGCCTGAAATCTGTTCCCTGTACTTACTTTAGAATCCCTGCTAGCCTGGTCCACATCCACCATGGATCTTGGCTATGCCCACCTGCTTACTCCTAGAACCCGCAACATGTGTACTGCTTCTCAGAGATATGTCCAGATGGTGTTGGCGGAGAAGACCCCACCTCAGGACCTGGACATCCCTACTGACCTGGGCCCTCCCTGGGCCTACATGTCTGGAAGTACTACCCTCACAACTCTCAAATGAAGGTAGCCCCCTACCCCAAATGCACACACTCTTTTATTTGTGGAGGTGCTCCTTGGTGTTCTTTGGGCAGCAGAGGCAGAAGCTCTGGCGATATACAGATTTCTGGGGCTTCAGTGTGATTCCACCCAGCACCTCTGCTCTCAGGTTCCAAATGTGGGAGCTGCTAGCGTTGGTGGTATAGTGGTGAGCATAGCTGCCTTCCAAATGTGGGAGCTTGGGTCTTCATAAATATGGATCTTCAGGATGCCTCCAGACTCATTCACATAAGGTCCTGGCCCAGCTAAAGCAGACCCAGAAACTCAGCTCAGAGACTGGATAGTAGATGATATTTCAGGCTTTGTGGGTCATTCTTCTTTGTTGATGTTGTTTTTGCAACAACCTTTTTAAAATAAGAAAACCCCTCTTAGCTCCCGGGCATACCAAATGAATATGAATTTGGCTCAGGGGCCATAGTTTTCCAACCCCCCCTCCCCCCATGACCTTAGACCAACAACCCAGAAGGAAGAGATAAGGGGAAGGCACTGACAATGAGAGGATGGGTGCTTTTCCATTTAAATGTAAACCTCTCAGGGGGCGCCTGGGTGGCTCAGTCGTTGGGCGTCTGCCTTCGGCTCGGGTCATGGTCTCGGGGTCCTGGGATTGAGCCCCACGTAGGGCCTGCTCGGCGGGGGGCCTGCTTCTCCCTCTCCCACTCCCCCTGCTTGTAGTCCCTCTCTCACTGTGCCTCTCTCTGTCCAATTTAAAAAAAAAAAAGTAAACCTCTCAGAAGAAAGCTGGTCATTAGATTTTACCAGTAAAAACTTGAATTCCTCCAAACCAAAAAAAAAAAAAAAGAGTTGATACCTAGAAATGTTTAAGAGTTTTTATTCCCCATGCCTTGACTTCCTTTCTCCATCATTTGTCATTAGCATTTCACATATTTGAATTCAGAATATTCCAGCCTCTGAAGGGCAGATGGGCCTGGCAGGCTACACTCAACTTTGGGAAGGGTCAGTTTCTGCCCAGAGCTACCTCCTGCTCACAGACTTTTCCATCACAATGACGCTCTGATCCAGGATCCTCCCAGGGAAGAACTGCCTTTCTAAAGCATATTTCCACCAAGGCTTGTTGTTTTTCTTTTTCTAAACATGCCAGTTAGGAAGGTTTTGAGATTTGTTAAAAAATCAGACAGGATTCCTGGAAACCCAAGTTGTGATGACACCAATCTGAGTGTCCAGAGGAACAGTGCAAGCACCAGCTGCAGCCCAGGAGGAGGTGTGGGCCATGAGCAGGGTTCTAGGAGTGTGCTGGGGAAAGGGAGCTGCCAGGGGTGGGGACCCAAGTCCACCAGCTCTGCTGGCACCGGCCTGTGGATTCTTAGTCTCATCCCAAATGAGATCATTGGATGGTGTGACCTGATTCTCCGATTTCTCATTCTGAAGTTTCAGGATTACAGGTCGTCCCATTTCCCACTGTTGTATATTTCTCTCCTTCTAAATGCATGGCTTCAAAATCCCTTAACCATGAACATTTACAATGTTATCTTGCATGAATGTGGTATATAGAGGAATGTGTGTGTGTAAATGTGTAACATGTGATTAGAATAGAAGTTATTTTAAATGTATCCATGTGGTTCACCTTATTAGTCTTTCCTCAGAGCAGCTAAGCACTCTGCACAAATCCTGTAATGGATTATTTGTCATTGTGGTTAATGATTTTCATGCTTACCTTAGAAAGTAGAACCATGATAGAATGCAAACAGGGCTTCTTTTGTTCCTGGGTGGGGTTGCTATTTTCCTGTATCTGATGATTTAGTGGCACAGGAAAGCACCACTCCCACAAGCTGCACCTTCCTAACATTCTTTTAAAATAATACACTGAGCTTCTCACTACTTGTGTAAATGATGCTAGACACTTTCTTGAGAGGTTTTAATGAAAAAAAAAAAAGGAGCAGAACATGATTACATGTGTAGCTGAATAATTTGGCAATCCTGACAATTTTGCTAAGACCCTCTTTTTATGAGGCATGAAATGTGATCCTTCCAGAAATGTGATAGTCAAGATTTTCTTAAAGTGCATGTGGTGCTGGTATTTTATTTTATTTGGGGGAGGGAAGACTGATTTAAGGACTTTTTTCCCCCTTTCTAAGAAGCTCATCTGAAATATAAGTTGTTTCCTGTCTTCCAGCCTTGTGTTGGCATCAGAAGTGAACTGTTTCTTGTTTATCATGTGCTGCTCATCAGTCATTCCCACTCCAGCCTTTCTCTTTGGTCTTGAGACCATATCCAGCTTGAGATTGTCTGAATCAGGCACAGCCCACTAGCATCATCTGTGCCTTACAACCTGTACTTTCAAGAGCTAGGCCATCCTCTGTGTCTCATTCTTAATGGTTAAGGATAAACCCTGGTTCCCTTACACATTCTCCCTAGTGTTCAATTCTCCTTTGCTTCTTGTTCACTTTCTCTTTTTTTAAAATTTTTTATTGTTATGTTAATCCCCATACATTACATCATTAGTTTTTGATGTAGTGTTCCATGATTCATTGTTTGTGCATAACACCCAGTGCTCCATGCAGAGCATGCCCTCTTTAATACCAATCACCAGGCTGTTTCTCCTTCTCCCACTCCCACTCCCCGTGCTTGTAGTCCCTCTCTCCCACCCCCCTCCCCTCTAGAACACTCAGTTTGTTTTTCAGAGTCCATCGTCTCTCATGGTTCTTCTCCCCCTCCGATTTCCCCCCTTCATTCTTCCCCTCCTGCTATCTTCTTTTTTTTTTTCTTAACATATATTGCATTATTTGTTTCAGAGGTACAGATCTGTGATTCAACAGTCTTGCACAATTCACAGCGCTCACCATAGCACATACCCTCCCCAGTGTCTATCAGCCAGCCACCCCATCCCTCCCTCCCCCCAACACTCCAGCAATCCTCAGTTTGTTTCCTGAGATTAAGAATTCCTCATATCAGTGAGGTATTGTTCACTTTCTCTTATGTTGAAGTTCTACTCTATTTATTTCTCTCTTTTCATGAATTCTGCATCTGGGCAGCCAGGTTATTGTGAGCTAGTGATGGGTATGTCATGTGTCTTTGCATCCCACCATCCCTTCACATGGTCATACCAGGAACTCCACAGCACTGGAGTGAACAGGAGAGAAGGGGGGAGGGGCATCAATATCAACTTGAAAGTTACAAAACAAGCATGGATGTCTCAAATAAAAGGGACAAAGACAAAGAAGACAAAGACCCTGGCCAGAATTCTTATTTGCAGAAGACAGGGACTTTTTAATCTTTAGGGAGATGATAAAAAGTATTCTGGATTCCTTGGTTTGTATTTTTGCTCTTGAATTTACTACCATATGAGATACTGTGTAGTGGCCAGAGATCATAATCTTTCTTTCCCCAGCATCACTGCATGGTGCCCAGAATGTGTTACACAAGAGATAGGTGTCTATGTGAATGATCATGTAATTTAATTTTAAACTTCTATGCAGGATTTGATTACATTTGGATGAAATATATCATAGTGGCATAGAATCTATGGATAGTGTAGGAAAGGTCAGGATTAGAGGATGGGTATGGTAGTTTTAAGTATTCTTGATTATGAGGCTCAAATGTCTAAAATCTAGGAAGGAGGTTCTGACTGATGGATTACCCTGTTGTCCTCAGATCTCTGTGCAGAAGGTCAGGGTGCTCCCTGCCATCTTCTTCTGGTAGTCCTTGTCAAATTCTCCATTCTGAGCCACAGTGAAATAGTTCTTCCAATCCCCAGGCATCCCTGAAACAAGTCAAAGTCTCAGAGGTTGCCACAGGAGTACAGAGAGGAGGGAGCATGCATCCTTGGAGCCAGCACAAGAACGGGGGAAAAAAAAAAGAAGTTTGCCTCTGAAAATTATGCAGTAGTGTCATTGATAGGAATGACTAATGGGGCATGAAACATTACTGGAAAATCTAACAGATCATGGGTACTACAGAGTCCAATCTGGTATTTGAGACTATAAATCTTACATACCTTTCCTCATAAAAGGAGAGATAGATTGGTCCATGAGGACAGTAGGCAAAGTGGTATAGTTTGCCATTGGGTTTTGCTTCATTACATCAAAGGAGGTGTGATACATGATTTTATTCAGGACTTCTTCGGACATTTCTTTCTCTAGGAACTTCAATATCTTCTGAATTTCCCGCTTCGGGTCCTATATGTAGAAGAGTTACACAAAGCAAATAAATTTGGGTTTTCTATTAGGGATGACATTCTGCTTGACAAATGACAAATGACAAACAGTATTTGGGAGGAATGAGTTAAGTTCAAATATATTCAACAACTATCCCTTAGGTGATGCCTATGTGCAAGGCACTGTACCATCTCAGGTACTGCCATGACACAAAGATGAGAGCCGTTCTTGCCCTCAGGAGGCTCACCCTGCAACAGGGGGATAAATGTAGACATAACTAACTGGGCAAAACCTCGCCCAGAAAACATGCTGCTTGCACACAGACAGTATCATGAGATTTGTTGAAAGGAACAATTATGTCTCCTGGTAGAGATCAGGAAGGTTGTATAAAGGAGGGGAAATGTTGCAGGTGAAGCACAGTATGACATACTCTAGTATTTGAGCTATAGAAGATGGCAAAAGAGCCTGTGAGTTTAATAGAAGGTTAGTAAGGGGATGAATACAAGGGATCTCAAGTTGACCCAGAAATGTAAATTCTTGTGCACTGGTTCTTTCTGATCAAAGAGTTGCAGAAAAGGAGCTATAGCTTCTTTTTTTAAAAAAAAAGATTTGTTTATTCATTTGAGAGACAGAGAGGGCAGGGGGAAGGGCAGAGGGGGAGAATCCTCAAGCAGATGACCCACTGAGTGTGGAGCTGGACACAGGGCTCGTTCCCATGACCCATGAGATCACGACCTGAGCTGAAATCAAGAGTTGGACACTCAATTGACTGAGCCACCCAGGTGCCCCAGGGAGCTATAGTTTTTGATTGGATTTCTCAGCACTGGCATAATAAGTAGTTTGTAGTTCTAGGATACTAATCCCTGGGGTCATGAGAGTGAATTTGTCATCCTTCTCATACACAGTGACTTGAAAAGGAGAAATCTGTTCTCTGTCACAATATGTGGGACCAATCCTGCCAATGTTTATATGGATTAAACTTCATTTGTGATGTGGGTCTGGCGTGTGGAACAGGGAGAAGGAAACTCTCCCTGAGCATTCACTGAACACAACTAGGCACTTTACAGATGTGATCTAATAAATCCTTATAATAATTTCATGAGATACAAAATGAGATGATACCCATTCTGTAGGTGAAGACACATGGTTCATGAGTGTCAGGATTAATTCAACCATAAAGGTATGTGATATTTCCTGAGGAGGAAGGATCTTCTGGAAATTGTGAACTGAGGCAAATAAAATTGAGAAGAGCAGAAAAGTAGTTAGAACTTCTGAGGATAAAACTGAGTTGGGAAGAGTGTCATGGAGAGAAAGGACCTGCACTGAAGGCTCTTCTGTGGGCAAGCCCAAATGCCAGGGTCCCAAATGTGGTTTGCTGCACTGGAGAACATGGTGGGTCTAATGGAGATTGCATTGCCTTTTACCTCTTTCATATCCTCATAGAAGAGGTAGAGAATATGGTGCTGGTCTTTCGCATCCCACCATCCCTTCACATGGTCATACCAGGAACCCCACAGCACTGGAGGGAACAAGAGAGAAGGGGGGGGCATCAATATCAACTTGAAAGTTACAAAATGAGCATGGATGTCTCAAATAAAAGGGACAAAGACAAAGAAGACAAAGACCCCGACCAGAATTCTTATTTGCAGAAGACAGGGACTTTTTAATCTTTAGGGAGATGATAAAAAGTATTCTGGATTCCTTGGTTTATATTTTTGCTCTTGAATTTACTACCACATTAGATACTGTGTAGTGACCAGAGATCATAATCTTTCTTTCCCCAGCATCACTGCATGGTGCCTAGATTAGTGTTATGCAACAGATCCTGTCTCTTAGTGGGCTGATTTTCATTCTGAAAAAATCTATAATTACCAAATATTTGGGCAACTTTTCTCTCTCTCTCATGGTGACTGGGAAGAGGAGAGGTGCACTGGGTGTCATTTGTTGGCCCTGCCAAATCCATTCTGTACCCTCCTTCACCCTAGAAGATTGACCTCTATGGACTGTGTCAATGGGCTCCTTTGTGCTCAGGTTTCCACCTGGGATTTGCCAGCAAAAGGCACTGAAAGGCTTTTGGAGGCAGGAGGAGAGTGAGAAGGGTGTCGTTTATTTCCCTGATGTCCTTCCTGTTGGCTCACTGTGGTGGACTCTTTCCCCTACTGAAGGCCTCAGCCCCTGTTAAGGAGCCTTGTCCTTTTTCCAGGAGGCAATAGCTCCCTGCTGGTGTTCACCCCAAAACACTGCACTATCACCTGTTGGTTTCTTTAAACTCTGCCTGTAGCTTTCTAAATAGTCTCTTAGCTAAATTATCCCCAAATGACCCAGTTTCGATGTGCCATCCACATCCTCCAATGACCTTGGTGACCACAATCATTCAATGAAAACCCTTCCTTTCTGATGTCAATAGTGAACAAGGAAATGTGAAGAATGAATGAGGAAACATGAACCCATAATTTCCTTTTACTCACCTTTTCCAGCTTTGAATGCCTCAATATACTCCTCCTATGTACCAGGGTCAGGCATCATTTTAGTCATTCTTGAGAAATGGTAGTAGGACACCAGACGGTCCTTTGGATTTCTAGCCACATAGATAATCTGAAATCAACCAGCAAGGGAATTGAGACAGACAGCAAACAAAACAGAGAAATATTATTGCTCAGTGCAGAGGACCATGTTATTAGAATCTTAGACTATTCTATTTGAGTAACTGAACGTGCATGCATTTTCTGTAAGCAGGATGACCACATCTTCCAGTATGCCCAGACAGAGTTCCAATGTATATCTGTGGTCTTAGATAATGATTAGGAGCATGCACGTATGCTCCTCTCTCTCAAGAGTATCCTGGTTTGCAGGATAAATACTACAGTCGCCCTAACTATGGTATTTCTGAAGACTAACGAGGCCACTGTGGTATTTTCCAGTGTGTTTGAAAGGTAGGTCCTCCTTGGCTTGCACTAAGCAAGGACTCTAACTATGTTATTGCACAGGGGGTAGCTAAAGCAGTCAGTTGTCTAGTCTAGTCTCCTCTGTACATGATGAGCTGCAGCCTTACAGATGAATGATCACTCTTATTTGTGGTAAGATTGCAGGACCTTTGAGGGCAGTGCTAAGTCTCCCTTTGGAATTGCTTGTGATGATTCTTCTCATTGGAAAAGCAGGGTTGTGGTGTGGCTGGGGAGAGCTGACCTCTTGGCTTCGTGTCCTGTGGTTCCATGCCCACCTGTGCTTCTGTGTGCATTCTCAGCAGAGCCGGGAGGAGGAGCACATTAATGGTTTCTCAAGCATTTTCCCATGTCTCATTTACTGAACAGAATTCCTGTGTCCAACAGAACCACTCATCCAGTGACATTTCCCTCTCAGGCAATTGGCCCAGGCTCTTGCTTTCTCTACTGCCTTTCCATAGACTGCTGCCTTATAGGAACATGGACCAGGCCTGTTTCTCTGCCTCTTTTCCTACTGCTCAATTTTTCTCTGATATTTATGAGAGCATGTAGGGAACCAAAAACTGTGACACAGCTGCACCATCTTGTCATAATGTAAATGTCTTTCTTTCTTTCTTTTCTTTCTTTCTTTCTTTCTTTCTTTCTTTCTTTCTTTCTTTCTTTCTTTCTTTCTTTCTTTTTCTTCTTTCTTTCTTTCTCCTTCTTCTTCTTTTTATTTTTCTGGTTTTATTTATTTGAGAGAGAGAGAGAGCAGAAGCAGGGGGAGGAAGAGGCAGAGGGAGAGGCAGAGGGAGAAGCAGACTACCTGCTGAGCAGGGAGCCGGATGTGAGGCTTGATCCCAGGACCTGAGATCATGACCTGAACTGAAGGCAGACTTAATCGACTGAGCCACCCAGGTGCCCCTGTAAATGTATTTCTTAATGCTTGTGTTGGTTATTGTCTTTCTGTAAGACTGAGTAATTATGAAGGACAGTCTGGGCTAGGCAGGGAACATATTCAGTGTGCTTATGGTGAGAGTCAGATGACTGGGTGTGACCTAATGTCCAATACATTTTCTGCTGATCCATCTGTGTGAGTCCCCTGTGGTGGCTGTAACAAATTCCCACAGATGGAGTGCCTGAAAACAATAAGAAAATTATTCTTTTATGGTTCTGGAGGCTTGATTTCACTAGGCTCAGGTCAAGCTATTGGCAGGGCTGGTCCCTTTGGTGATGTTAGGGGAGAATCCCTTCCCTTGCTGTTGCTAGCATCTTGAGGCCACCTGTATTCCTCGGCTCTTGACCCAATCCCTGGCTTCACTTATCACATCTCCTACTTCTTCCTCTGATCTTCTTGTCTCCCTCTTATAAGGATCCTTGTGATGATATTTAGGGTCCACCTAGATAAACCAGGATAATCTTCCATCTCAAGATCCCCAACTTAATCACATCTGCAAAGCCCATTTTACTATATAAGGTAGCATTCAGTTTTTGGTTATTAGGACATGGATATCTTTAGGGGATGGTTATTTAGCTTATCATTACATCATAAAATGAAAATCTTGGGCTAAGCTCTTTAAGGTCCCATCCTACTCAAATAATACACAATTTTGAGCAGATAAAGGGAGGTGCTGTCATTGAGATTTTTACATTTTACAAGGCCTGATTTTACAAAAAGAAGGTGCTAGTATGATGACTAACAAGATGTTATTTTGTCTTCTGACATTGAGTCTACAATAGCATTTGGAAATAATATTGCTTCTTGAGCAGCAACAGTCACATATGAGTGAAGTTATCTATCTGTGGGTATAAAGCAGGAAGTTTTCACAAATGAAGGTGACCTAGATGTAATCCCAGGGAAGCAGATCAGGAATGGGATAGCATTTTGATATATGGAATCCTATTCAGTTGTACTGTACCTTATTTGGAGATGGTCAAGATGAAGAGCTGGTGACTCAGAGAAGCCCAGAAAAAAGACAGTAAAAAACAATTACTTGCACTGTGTATCTGAGCACTGCACGGAGGAGAGAGTGTTTTGGCTAACAGACTTGACCCCTATGGTTTCCTTGGTAAGGGTTCAGTCTGGGTTTCTAAAGCAGCTTGTTCACAGGGAGAAGACATGCTGGTCTAGCTGATATAAGCATTTGATTCTGCTGAATGGCTACACTTTTCATGGCAAATTTATAAGTCAATATTTGACTTTAAGACTCACTGATTAAGCATATATCAAAAAGAAACACCAGTATATTTGATGTACATTGCACATTGAACCTGAATTTGGAAGAGTCAAAATAAATGAAAAATCTTGGAAATGGAGGACATAGAAGTGTAATAGTTCCTGGGTGCTTGCTCCATGAAATATGCTCTAAGGGTGGCCAATGTACTATCATCCTCCTTTGCCTTGCTCTACCTTTCTCTCCACAGGTTTTCCCTAAATAAATCCCTTTTATGTCTTCCTTGGCCTTGGCTTTTGTTTCTTAGATGATTTGAACTAAGATAATAGCCTTCTTCAGGAAATATGTGCTTTGTTTCACCAATTGCTCCCTTTGGCTATGGCTTAATTGGCAACCAACCAGAATGATTTTGTCTGAAAACATCCTAGTATGTACCCATAAATAATATTTTGAAGGAAAGCTGGATACAGCATGGAGTTTGTGGGAATGTGGGAGTAATGCCACCATTTGCCCTATACCTCCATTGATTATTTATTTTTCAATATCTTTGATTTTTTCTATTTAGATGGACACATTATCTATCCATACTGACCAAAACTGGGTTTGAAAAGTTGGCTTTTCCTACCTTTGAATTTTCTTTCCAGAAGGAAGGTGGCAGCAACTGAACAGGCAGGTGAGTCTTCATAGTTCTAGGAGAAGGCATTTTGCTGGCCAGATCCAGACCTGGGAAAGAAGGCTACACCATTTAGCTGAACACTTCTCATCAGCTCCATGAATTCAATATTATTGTTTTGTCAAATATCTGAAATGAGGTTTACCAAATAGCTGGCTCTGCCTAAAATTATGGTTTTTACATGTCTAAATGATTCCCTCCTAATGACACTTTTACCATCCATTCAGGTAAAGGAAAACACTAATGAGATACTGGAAACCACTGAGGCAACAGTACGCTCCTTATTTGCTGGGTATTGGTTATACTTGTGTGGGAAGATGAAGATGTTTGGGGAGGTATGAGGTTGATGCAACTATGTCCCCAACAAGCACTTGGATATTTTGTCCTTTGGGGTTTTCTATTACTGCAATGGGGAGTAGATTAAGGCAGCTGGAGAAGAGCTGGCTTCCCTCTTAAGGGAGGCGGGTTATTGGCCAGCTCTACAAGGCTAGCAGTTCCATGTAAATAGCTTCATGCTTTCTTTTAACCTTTACTTTCCAGGCCAAGAACTGCAACAGCCACCAGTCAAACACCAGCACTGTGCTCTGTGCTGGGATGTATTTTCAGATGAAAAATTGAGCCTTACAGTGGTCAAGTAATTTCTCCAAGTTAGTAAATGTGACAGCCAGAATTGGAAATCAGTTAGTCTGTGGGTGTGGAGAGCCATAGAGGGGGAGGCCTAAGAGACTTTGTGGAAAGCAGCAGAGAGACAAGGAACAACTAGATGAATCTCAGATAAAATCCTCCTTGGAAACAGAATGTCCAATGCTGAGTGTTAAAATACCAAGTACAGGGGGCATCTGGGTGGCTCAGTCAGTTAAGCATCTGCCTTCGGCTCAGCTATGATTCCAGGGTCCTGGGATTGAGCCCCATGTCGAGCTCCCTGCTCAATGGGGTGTCTGCTTCTCCCTCTCCCTTTGCCCCTCTGCCTCCCCCTGCTTGTGCTCGCTCTCTCTCAAATAAATAAATAAATAAAATCTTAAAAACAAACAAACAAACAACCAAATACAGACTGGGATTTGGCCACACACAGCACGAAACTCAAGGGAGGGGGCTTGAAAATGAGGCAGAGTAGCAGCCTTGGTTGGAGAAGCACAGCTTCTGGTGGAGAATCAGATATATAGAGAAGGGAGGCACCCCCTGGAGACCTGGCAGTGATGGGAAAGAAGGAAGTAAGAGGAAGAAAATTAAAAATCCTGCAGAAACAAAAGAAATAGCCTACTAATTCCTCACCGCCAACCACCAAGACCTAGGAGTAGTAAACCTCTCTATTTCAATTCCCTATAGTTTTTTCTTAAACTGAGGCTCACCAGCCTACCTGGGGCTCTACTAACAAATGTTAATTTAACAAAGTCACAATTGGCTTCACAAGCAGGATGGATTGAGTCAGTTTGCCTTTGATAATGAGGAATGTATTTTAGCTGCAAATGGCTTTCTCAGGTGGGTAATCCATTGGGGAGGAGTCCAACTGCATGCTGTCTATTCAGAGGGCTGCCCCAAGTTCCCATCCCAAAAGTGCAAGCTCCAAAAAAAGCAACCAGAATTCTCTCAAACTTTAAGGGTATTGCTAATTGCAGCTGGTTTGAGGGGCTATAGATGTGTTTTCCATTTATTAATGTCCAGGGGGTACCTGCAGTGGGTGTTAGACTTTGAGTGTGATTCCCAGCTTTTATCACAGACCCAGCTACTGACTGTTAGGGACAACTGGCTAAGATTTTGGCAAGGTCCTATTGCCTTTAGTTAACAGAGGGGAACATGTGAGTTGCACAAATTGCCCAAGTGTGGGACCAGAGAAAGGTGCATTGCCCCTAAGAGGAGAGGGAGACTCTCCTGACCTGATTGGCTTTGCTTGTGGGAGGCACTAGGACTCTGAATTCTAACCTGGATGATAGGAATGCCCACACTCGGGAAGTCATGGTCCCTCGAAAAGGCAAGAGTGACTGAGGCCGGTGGTCCTTCTGTCACTGCATACCTTGCTGCTGTGGCACCTTGTCCCTTGACACTATGGGGTACCATGGGTCCCACTCCTGGTGTGTAGTGGCACAAAATCTAATGGCCTAATACAAATGACCTGAATACCTGCTGCCTGCACCAATGAAAATGTCCAAAAAATTAGTAAGCTCCCCACTAAATGTGAAACACTCATAAAAGTGGTGTGGGCACTGATCAGTGTCGAGGTTTACCAACATGCCAAGGCACTGATTCTATACTCTTGGGCCTAGGGGCCAGTCCTAATCCTGCCACCACTGGGCTAGTGGAGGATGACCCCAAACCCAGTGAGGTGGATTGGGACACCCTGGAGAGGGAAGCAGCTGGTACTGGCCACTGGGGACATCTGCCAGAGTGACAATTCACAGGGTCAAATCCGTGGCGGGTAATAGAGAATTAGAAACCAAAATTTGAAACTTTACATGCCTTAAGATTAAAAATATTTTAAAAGACTGTAGGGCAGGAGGGAGGAAAAGGGGCTGACTGGCTGTTGAGAGTGTTTAACACTGGCTCTGAGCTATTACACAACCTATGGATGTGAGTTAACTAGCCAGTATTTACAAGAATCCCCAAATGCTTAACCTTTTAAAAGACCCCCAATGAGCCCTGGGTGTTATACACAACTAATGAATCATTGAACACTACATCAAAAACTAATGATGTACTATATGCTGGCTAATTGAACATAATACTAAAAAAAATTTAAAAACTCAAAAAAAATTTAGCAAATACAAAAACAAACAAACAAACAAACAAAAAAGTAAAAGACCCACCCCCAAAGCCTGAAAGTCAAATTCTGGAGAGACACAGGTGACCCAACCTCCAACCTATGAGGGACTGTCCCAGGACTAATTCAACCAGAGTTAAAGCAAAAGCTGCAGCTGTGGATGATCTCAGTGTCATAATTGGGATTTCTAATCACAAGGGAGAATCCAAACCCAAAGACACAAGCCCTAAGGATATAGAGGGAAAATCCTGTCTTCTGCTTACTTGGATTTTTATGGCTTGGCATGGAACCTACCCTTCTCTCATAGTTATTTTTTTTTAATTTTTAAATTTTATCATGTTATGTTAGTCACAATACAATACATCATTAGTTTTTTTTTTTAATTTTTTATTGTTATGTTAATCACCATACATTACATCATTAGTTTTTGATGTAGTGTTCCATGATTCATTGTTTGCATATAACATAGAATCATA